TCTTTCCCCCTTTGTTTTGGTTTTGCCATAGGGTGCATGTACTCACTGGAGAGACAGACAGAAGGAAAGTGAGAAAGAGTCCCCAGGCGCTGTGGCTACACTGCAATCCCTTTTCTCCGTTCTCCTCCTGGGACCTTGGACATGCATGCACATGTGCCTAGTGTCTTTCAAGGTGCCAGGTCTGGGACTTGAACCACGATTGGCCATATGGGAGTCCACTGCCATAACCACCACGCCAGCTGTTAGCCCCAAATTGAACTTTTTAAAAAAAGATAACTCAAATGCCAGCTCTCCCAGGAAGCCTTCCTGGATCTGTCTGATGGGGGTTCATAAGCAGATCCTGTTCCTTCTCTGTAAGCCGCTCACTCCCTCTGTGCTCTGCAGAGTTGGGTAGACCTTCAGCCAGGGGACCAGCTGAGCCCAATCCCTGGGGTATGACCTCTGGGAACTCTGGTCCTTGGCTTGACCTGCCTTCTACCTGAGTCGGACCCCACAGAGGGGCTGGAGTGGCTCTGACCAAGCACACGGCAAACATGAGCCCCTGCAGGTATGTGTTTTCTCAATGTACTTTCAGAGCGCCCGTTCAGTGCTTGCCAGGGCTTGGTACCCGCACCCCACACCAGGAGTAGTCAGCACCCTGTAGGTGCCCAGAGTGTTGCTGCTCTCAGTCAGGCAATCTGAAGCAAGGGCCAGGACTTCCTGTAGCCTTGGAGACAGACAGCCTGGCTCCAGATCCCGGTCACGCCCCTAACTGGCCCTGTGGCCTTGGGTGGGTCTCTTAACCCCATCTGTGACATGGACATGGTGGTGGCAGCTCAGGAGAGTAGAGCAAGGTGACATGTGTCAGCACTTAGTGTGGCTCCCCGGTCCTGGGCATGCATTCACTGGGTGGCCTCACTTGTCTGCTTGTCCATCTTCTTCCCTAAAGACCCATGAATGCCCCTCACTGGCTGGGTAGACCCATTGCCAGGGAGACAGAGTTGTGCAGAGAGGGAGAGAGTGTACAGGGAGAGTGTGTGCAGGGGGAGAGTGCACAGGGAGAGTGTGTACAGGCAAGGGAGAGTACACAGGGAGTGTGTGCAGGTAGGGGAGAGTGCACAGGGAGAGTGTGTGCAGGGAGAGAGTGCACAGGGAGAGCATGTGCAGGGGGAGAGTGCACAGGGAATGTGTGCAGGGGGAGAGTGCACACGGAGTGTATGCAGGCAGGGGGAGAGTGCACAGGGAGAGTGTGTGCAGGCAGGGAGAGTGTGTGCAAGCAGGGGGGAGTGCCCAGGAGAAGTGTGTGCAAGCAGGGGGGAGTGCCCAGGGGGAGTGTGTGCAGGCAGGGGGAGAGTGCACAGGGAGAGTGTGTGCCAGCAGGGAGAGTGCACGGGGAGAGATGTGAGTGCAGGGAGGGAGTGCACAGGCAGGAAGAATGTGCAGGCAGGACACTCAGGCATCGAGGTCTTGGGGACTGGCCAAGCACCCAGGGGTGCAGCGGCTTCTCAGGCAGCATTCTGGGGCTGCCTGGAGAGGCCCCGGCCGGGGAGGGCAGTGCCCAGATTTATCCACCAATCGCACGGGCTCCTGGCACGGGAGCATGTTCTTATCTGCCCAGCCCAGCATGGGGGGGTGGCCATGCTGGCCAGGGCGGGACGCTGCCCGGGGCCTGGACACAGAGCGGCCCCAAGCCCTGCTGGGTGGGTGACGGCTAGGCTGGTGGCCAGCCGCCGCCCATCTCCCGCACCATGTCGGACGGCGAGGGCCCCTCAGCCGGTGAGTGGCAGCGCTATATTTACCCACATGGCTCCGGTTGCAGAGCCAAGGCCGCTGGTCGCTGAGGGCGCTGGGGCCCCCGAAGGCTGCAGGCAGCTGTGAGGGTGGACCCCCTTCCTCCTAGCTGGACGCCTGAGGGGCTCACGCCCTGGGGGAGCACTGACTTTCAAAGCTGAGTTCTGCTTCCCAGAGGCTTCCCAGCAGGGCTGAGCAGGAAAC